CAAGTTTGAAATATTTCAAAGTGAAAATTTCATGCTCATAACCCTATATATTATAGACAATCCGTAATAGTATAAAACAAATTCAGAATATATGATTTTTGAATATATTTCAAAATTTCAACAATCRGAATTTTAATAACTTTATTATTAACATGAAAAATGGGGGTAAGCATGCTTACTGCTCAATGAAACATGGAAAATGGCAAGGTAAGATATTTTTATAATTTTATGCATAAAAAAGTATAATGATATAATTTTAATTTTAATATTATTCAAAACAAATTCGAATTTGAGTGGAAACCAATAAAAATGTTTCATTAGACACAATATGCAAATAGTTAAAACCATTTAAATATAGTATTATRCATATTATGCATAATATATCAATATGATGTATAATAGGTATTGTAAGTACCTATAATATATTAATTAACAAGCTGTGACAAGTAGAACATTTATCTCTCTAGTCACGTTAATTTTAATTTGTTTAAACCGGAATTAATATGCGTCCGTCTGTTAACGTCAAAATGTCAATGTCGGAAATCAGTTAATTTTTCAAAAATCTTGAACAGTTAATACTAAAAGTTTCTCGAGAAGTCAAAAGTCGTTGAATATCAGTTAAAAATATTTTTAAATATACATAGACTACCACGTGAACATATTTATTTGATTTGTTCAATCTGTAACAAAAATATTTACAATAAGTACAATGGAGGGATACACTATAGGTTATGGTTGGCTTGATTAAAGAAGCTGTTCAATAATAGCACTTCATGGCAGGATAGTAGTGGTTAGTGAACTAGACTGCAACTAGTCGGCTAGTAGGTCACGGTATCAGCTACGCTTTAAACGTCGGCCAGGGTCACCCGAGATAGTTCGAGAAGAGAGGTTTTGGATGAGAGGGTTTCGGCGGTTTGAAAGTTTAAAGTGGAAACTTCGTACTTATAGAGTTTTAGCGACGTTTTTAATCGTCGGAATGAAGAGGTCTCTTWGGAAGGTATCATTTGATATATAAAAAGGAGCTTTAATTATCAGCCGGAGGCATTTAGATTAAAATATTTGGATTCGGTTTATATTAGAGTCTTTGGCTGATCCCCAATGTTGAACTCCATAAGACCAATTAGGTTTGAGGAGTACCTTATACAATATACATAAAGATTTCATTCTGTAGTGTGACATGTTTGGAATAGGAAGAAAGGAGAAGGCTGTCATTGACGATTATTGAGTACTAGTCGTTATAGTGTTATGTGGGCAGCTCATGTGAGTCGGTGATCTAGGTATAAAACTATAGGTAACGCACATTTTAAGCGGTCAGGTTAAATTGCTATTTAACAATAAATATTATTTACGGGTGTGAGAGGTGCTTATATTATGATGGGCGTTGAACTAAATTTTATTTGGAGGAGAAATAGACCCTCGTGGGGGGGAGGTGTAAATGCTTCAATCCCCTACATAAAAAATGATCAAATTATGACAGATTGCTGTGACCCACACGATTAATGTATACCTATACTGTAGAGCGGTGCCCACTTGCTTAAACCTCCTTTTTAGTTGTTTTTTCAGGATTGATAAATAAATATTTGAAGATGAATAAGAGGTTACTAATACAGAAACTATAAAATATATGTGCATAATTTTTTTTTAGATATTTTATTGAAAAACAAKGATATTATGTAGTAATGTAAAAAATAGTGTGTGCAATATTTTTGTATTTACCTTTTTAATCATATTTAATTTATGTATATTACGTACACATTCAAGTTTACCTACTATACCTTAGGAGTTAGGATTAAATTATATAATGAATTAACTTTCCCTAATTCAATTTCAGACTTGTCATATACTCAATGAACGAAGGGAGAAGAATTAGGTTTAATATTGATTTGCTTATARGTTATAACTTAATATTAAGTATTAACCAAGAAAACAATTAATATATCAGAAATATTTAAATTAAATACATTTATTATTTAAAGACACAAAATATTATTATGAACATATATTATATTACAGCTTATCACTCATGACTTTAACAATAGGCATACTAAGGGATATTGGCATTTTGCTGTGTGACTTAATATACGATATGATATATATAGTTAGAATTATGATGATRCGCCTTGTTAGCCATTAATCTTGAAGAGTTGTTATAATTACAATAAATTAGCTGTTCAATATTTTATTGCTATTTTAATTTGATTTAATGAGTAAAGTTACTGAGAAAAATACCACCTGACCACAGTACCTACCAAATTTGAAATATCAAAATTCAAATTAACTATAATAAACAGTACATACTACAGAGTATAATAATATACAAACGGCGTAGGTAATGTTTATTATAATTCATATTACAAACCATGGCTCGTACTCTCGTAGCATAAGWWACTAATTAATTGTAGAATAGGTATTGTTTCAACTATATGATTCTAAATAGCCAAACAGGGTACCTTTGTAATATTGTAATATTATATGATAACTATTAATGGTATTCCACATACAACACAAATCTAATAATAATACATTATTCTATCATATATGAAATGATAGTTCTGAAAATGTTAACTGGYTTAATAGAATATTAAAATCTATCAGTATACCTATTAATTAAATTATATACTTTCGCGACGTATACTATGATACGCGTATCATTAAATTTTGTCAAATTTGAAGCACGTAGTATAATAATTAGTAACTAGTAATGCTGCTTTATTTCATCGTATAGTGGATCAATCAGTATTACTATCAATATTATTTAGTGTTATAACTACTATATTATGATAATACCTTAATAATAGTGTTACATATATAATATATAGGTTGTAATTCGTCGATTTATGATATTCTAATGGCGAGAATMACAATATTACATTATAATATTAATAAAACAACATTCGTCCAATTAAAACTATATCAAAGTTAATATGCCAAGTATAAAAATCTMYAAAAAAAAAAAATATTAAATAATAAATGAAACATTATTTGATCAAATATTAAAAATTAACTATAAGTAAAAGATAAAAAATTTTAAAATTTAAAATATCTTAAGTTTATACTGATTGCTATTAAAAATATAAAAATGTAGATACAACTATTAATATGTATAATATTATGAATAGGTATAGGTTTTATTATTATATTATATTTTATTATTTTTGTAATCTAAATGTAGTGAAGTTTTGAACATTTTATGAATGAGAACAATTAAATAATTAACAAAATCCGACGATTTTTACGCAAAACATTTGTGTTCAAATATACTTAACAGTTAACATCGTGTATAAATTTGCATTCCTAATTTATTGTGCATTATTATAATCAAATAAACCGTTTGATGTTTAATTCAATATATTACCTCAAATAGACTAGATTTAATGTCAAGCGTGGTTGATATCTTAATTACAACATCTTTCAAGCATTGAAGTTATAGTTAAGTTATAACTTCAACGAAATTCTCTAGATGAGTAATAAGTAACAAACATTTAACTAAAGGTATTTAGAAAATTTTATTTTGCTCATAATTCCAAACGCAACCTATTGATTTAAAAAAGTAATTATACTTTGTTTTTTATCAGAACCAAAAAATTA